CGGTGGCTGGGAGTGGCCACTGCACTCCAGTCTGGGCGACAGAGGACTCCAACTCAAAAAACAAAAAAAGATTCAGATCCATAAACAAGGGATGTCTTTCAATTTATTTAGGTCTGTGACTTCTTCCGATAATAGTTTTTACTTTTCAGTGTACCAATCTAGAGATTCTTTTGTTAAATTTGTTCCTAGGTGTTCTACTGTTTTTAATGTTATCGTGAATGAAATTGTTTTCTTAACATCAAGTGCAGATTGTCCATTGCTAGCATATGTAAATACAATGGATTTCTGTCTATTGATCTTGTACCCAGCAACCTCGTTGAACTACTTATTAGTTCTATTAGTTTTCTAGTTGATTCCTTATGATTTTCTACATACAAGATCTGTCATCTGCAAATAGAAATAGTTTTACTTCTTCCTTTCCAATCTGAATGGCTTTAATTTCATTTTCTTGTCTAGTTTCTCTGCCTAAAATCGCCAGTACAATGGTGACTAGAAGTGGTAACAGCAGACCTTCTTCTCTTGTTCCTAATCTTAGAGGGAAATGTTTAGCGCTTCACCATTAGAGGTGATGATAACTATGTGTTTTATTGGATGGCATTTATCAGGTTACGGAATCTCCCTTCTCTTCATAGTTTGTTGAGTGTTTTATCATGACAGTCTATTGGATTTTATCAAATTCTTTTTCTCCATCTACTGAGCACCTTGGTGGTGTCCTTTATTACTTCATATGGGTTGAGTGACTGTCTACTGTCATTTCATCCTGAAGGACTTCCTTTAGCATTTCTTGTAAGATAGATCTGCCAGTGATGAATACTTTGTCTGGAATGTTTTACTTTGTCCTTTGTGTTTGAAAGAATTGCTGTGCATAAAATGGATGGTGACACTCTTTGCCCCAGCACTTTGAATATTTTATCTCATTGCCTTCTGGCCGCCATGGTTTCTGCTGGGAAACTGCTGTTAGTATTAAGGCTCCTTTGTGCACAGCGTCATTCTCTCATTGTGCTTTCCAGAGTCTCTTTTTGTCTTTTGCAGTCTATCATGTGTCTGTCTGGGTGTGGATCTCTCTGAGTTTATCCTACTCAGAGTTCACTCGGTTTTTTGGATATGCAGATTAATGTTAATCAGATTCAGGGAGTTTTTAAGGATGCCTTCTTCAAATATTCTTTCTACCTCTTTGTCTTCCTCCAGACTTTCATTATGTGTAT